TCTCAATTCCTCCACAACGTGATCCTTGCACCATGTGATGATATTGCTGTGGATGTTTCTCCTCCATTTGGGTCAGAGCAAACACGACTGTTTCAACATCATCAAGTCTTACATTTTCTTCAGATAGAGATAAAACATCTTGTGATGTGCAGCATTGTTTCAAGTTTTCTTCTTTTTCTTTGAGAAAAATTGCTTGTTCTATTTTTACTGTCAAAAAAAGAAGAAAAAAAAAAGTGTTTCTCTTGAGGGCCAAACTTTGTTCCCTGTGATTTTCTTTTCCTGGTGAAAAATAGTCATTGAAAACTCAGCTGGACCAAAAGGCTGGTCCTCCTCTGACACAGCCACCAGCAGCTGTTCCAGTGGGGACAAAAAGAAACCCTGTACGGATTTCTGTGTTCTTGAATCCATCATCCCACTTCCAAGGGAAATAATTTTCTTTTAGTTAAGAAGTTGCCCTCATGAGGCCTTTATCCACAGAAACAGAATGGTTTGGGTTTGAGGGATGTTGAAGCTCATCCTGTTCCACTCCCTGTTGTGGGCAGGGATAAATTCCACTATCCCAGGTTGCTCCAAGCCCCGTCCAACCTTTATGGGAAGGAGCTGAAGCCCCCAAGAGCAGGGTGTGTTGGAGGAGCTCAGTTTTCCAAGGGCCCCAAGGAACAGCTGAGACCTCACTGGACAATCCTCCACCACGGTTGAATTTTTAAATATCCTTTGGAAACAGTGGGAATGCAATTGTGACAGGACAGAGTAACTCAGTGGAAAACACAATAACAACACAGCTCCGTGGAATTGCTGGAATGTGCTGCTGTCTAATAAGTGCAGAGCAGAAGGTGACCAGGCCTGGATCCGTCTGCCAGCTCTGAAATATCCATAATTAGACCTTATCAGTTCCTTAACATCCTCTTTCTGCCTGCACTTTGTTTACTCCAAGAAACCAATTATCCCATTACGAGCCAGTCTATGTCAAGCAAATACAGCTCAATGTGCTCCTACATTTTAAAAGCGTTGTAATCACAAATCTGAGCTATTGCCAGATTTCACTGGAGGTAAATAAGAGCCCTTCTATGCACACACCATATGCACAGTGCTTCCTCTTGGAGAAATCAGGTGACATAGAAATCTTAGGGAATACAGAGGTTCTCTGGGATAAACTGGAATCTTGCAGCAGCAACTGACAAGAAAAAGCAGAGCTTAAAATTCAACAGAAACCTGATCAGAAACATCTCTGAGCATAAATTGCCTGCCCATGGCAAGGGGTTGCAATGAGATCTTTAAGGTCCCTTCCAGCCCAAACCATTCCATGATGTTATGATAATGCAGAAGTGCATTTAAATGTGTTTAAAATATTCAAGAGTTACAATGGTGCTGAGGAAGAGACTAATTTCTTGAAGTCATTAATGTTCTGCAGCTTTCAGGCATTTGGGGTTTTTTTACCCCTGGTAAATAAGTTGAATTTAAACCTTAAACTGCTTATTTTCAAAATATTATCACCCCCCACACACCTTATATATATGTTTGGATTTTGAGTTTTGATTAGGTTTGGGGTCAAAATCATCTCTTAAGACAAAGTACTTTTAACCGAATATATCCATGGCCATAAAACTTCCAAGGAAACTTTCTGGACAGGCATTCATTGAAGGCCTTCTACTTTATCACTCACAACACAAACATGTAACATCAAGTTTCACTTGTTCCGTAGAAACACAGAACCTCAGAATGGTTTGGGTTGGAAAGGACCTTGAAGACCACCCAATTCCAACTCCTGCCACTGTCCCAGGTTGCTCCAAGCCCCATCCAGCCTGGCCTTGAACACCTCCAGGGATGGGAAGTCCACAACTTCCCTGGGCAGCAGTTAAGGAATTTGGGAATAGGCTTCAGAGAATTTTTGACACAGCATTCCAGTGTCTCAGTCAGGCTGTGCCTGTGCACATCGTGTTCTCCCAGTGCTTTAATCAGCTGGGAGGGTGGATTTCGAGGTCACAGGATGGGGAGCATTAAAAGATTTCCATTAAAGAATCACCCGCACCCTCGAAATGTGGCTTTTTTTCCCCACTGTAGGAACAAGGACACATTTCTTTATCCTAATGAACAATAGGTGCACCTCCAGCAGCTGGGTGATGCTGAACAGACAACAGGAGAGTCTCAAAATAATTTAAATAATCCTTTGAAATCCGTGAGGTTCTGCTATAGATGGGAAAGCTGCAGGAGCAATGCCCTGAGTACATTCACCCTGTTCCTTGATCCAAACAAGCAGTCACACCATCAAATGAATAATGCACCATTAGGAAGAGCATCTTGAGGATGTTTTGCAGGAGAGGGAGCTGTGGAATGAAATCCAGCTGCGTTTTGCAGCAGGTGGAAGGCTCAGTGTTTACAACCCTGCATTATATTTTATTCTGCTGCTTTATTGGTGCATCTAAAACTATCCAAGCAAGGGGAAAATTCACTGCAAATTGGCTGTCTCTACACAACCAACTTTTGGGTTTTGCAGATCTTTTTAAGCAATCACAGAACGGGTCAGGTTGGAAGGGAGCACAGTGGGGTCATCTGGTCCAATTCCCTGCTCCAGCAGGGTCATCCCAGAGCACAGGACACAGGATTGTGTCCAGATGGGTCTGGAATAATCCCAGTGAGGGAGACTGGAATAATCCCAGTGAGGGAAACTGGAATCACCCCAGTGAGGGAAAATCCACACCCTCTCTAGGCAGGAAGAAGGATCTCTTCTAACGACTGCTCTTCCCTGTGAATCCCAAGGATTAAAGGATCTTTCTGGAAGAGGGGTGTGAAAATCCTCTCTTGGTGAGGTGGAGTCAGAAATTCACCTGGCTCAGGCTCTCTCCTGAGCTTACAGAGTCACAAAATACAAAGAACTTGCTGTTAACAGGATCACACATGGATAGGATGAGTAATAATCCCAGGAGAGGAATTCCTAACTGATCGTTTTCTTCTTCTAGGCCTTGTTTTAGAATCACAGAATCCTGGAATGGTTTCATTTGGAAGGGATCTTAAAGCTCATCCAGTTCCATGGGCAGGGACACCTTCCACTACTCCAGGTTGCTCCAAGCCCCATCCAACCTGGCCTTTTATTCCCATTCACATGGGTTGGAGAGAGGGAAATGAACTGCAGCTCCCTTTTCCCATCCCAAACCCTCAGACTGGGATGCCAACACCAACAAATGTCAGGGATTATCACCAGAGTCGTGTTTGTGCACTATTCCAGTGCAGGTCTAATAGCAAAAATCAGGATGTGGAGGTTTTCTGTTCCTTCACAGCACAGATGGCACCAGCCTGAGCTTTCACCACTTAAGCCCAACACTTGCAATCACAGCCTAGTGGAAAATTTAGGGCAATTGAAAAATAATGGAAGTTCCCAGTCTTGATAGGAATGTTACAGAGTTCCTCAGGAATGCTTCAAATTGTGCTGTTTAATAAGATTTTGCACTTTTCCAACTAAATTCTGTTGCTTTCTGTGGTTTTTCACAAATTGTGTACAACAATAGAACCAACACCCATCAAAAACACTGGAAATCTGATCTGATCATGGCACAGAAAATTTTTTAAAACCCAAAAGGAGTTTATTTTTTTTTTTATATATCTAAACAGCACAGACTGCATCAATATCAGACTGTACCAGAACCCTCTGACCCTTCCTGCTGTAAAGAAATTCAAAGAAGAATCTCTAAATCCATCTCAACCTTGGACGTTAAAAGGTTAAAATCATTTCCCTATTGCTCCAAAAGAAAATTATGAAACAATCACTCATTCCACCACTCCAATAATTTGTTTATGTTCCCAAAATCCACAGAGAAGGAGACACTGATAGAAATGCAACACTGGATTGGAGGAACTCTGAAGAGAAGTTGAATAAATCATGTTGGAAACTGAAGGGTGACACCCACAAACCATTTCTCCTCTTCATCCATGAAACTACACCAACATTAATTCCACAGGAAAGATGACACTCACCAAGATTTTTTGCCACCATCAATTTAAAAGATCATTTTTGGAGTATTAAATTAATGTGTCTCAAGGAGTGATTTAATATTTACTTCAGCATCACAGACAGAGAAACATTTAATAGAATTTAATACATTTCCTAAGGCACTTTGGACCATCCTGCACATGTTAGTAGAGTAATATATCCTTTGTAAACAACTGCGTTGTATCAAAACACCATTAGGATATTTTTCATTCTCTGTAGCAATACATTTTAATAATAATTGTCATATAAATCCACTTTTTTCTTCCCAATAAATCCCAAAGTCTTGCCTTAAGGACTAACATCATCACATCCCAAAAAGAGAGCTCAATTCCCAGGTTTGGGTAAAGTCTATATCTTGATTGGAAAAGGGTGATTTTGATCCATTTTAGGATATTTATTTCTTCCTGTAGTAATTAATTTCTCTGGAGAAACACCTTTTCAAGTCTTCAAAACGGGCTCAAAGAATTACATTTTCTTAGAAAAGAGACAGATATAGAGAAATTAAACTTATTCTCTTTTCCATCTGGCCCCTTCTCCAGCCCTGATGGCTCCCAACAGGAATTCCACAGGACTATTCACAACGTCAGGTAGAAATCAGCAGGTTTGGTTTGGGGCATGTAAATGGTAACAACCCTCCAAGTCCAGGAGAAACCAAATTGGTTTAAAGTGTGGAGAATCATGCATCACATTCAGAATTTTGTTTAAACTAATGAATGATCTTAGACAAATTATCATACATAAAAAAGCTACTACTTTGGAATTTTTAGGGAACATAATACAAGATTTACATTTTCTGTTTGTATAACTAAGACATTTTTAGTGTATTTCTTTATATGGAAATGACATATAAAGGACATCTCCAAAACGCCCAGTGGCTTGAGCTGGTGTCAGTGATTGGAAAATGGCAGGAGCAGCCCAGGTTCTGAAACTCAAAGAAGTCAGGCTAAAATTAAGAAATCTGGAATGCACCAACACCACAGAGTTTTGAGCTTTTATTTTCAAACTGATGCCTTACCAAACAGAGCCATCTGTGTTCCCTCTGGGAAAGGTTCAACCATTCTGTTCCCATTGACATGATCTTTATCTAGAAGGGAAAAAAAAAAAAAAGAAAAAAAAAAGAAAAAAAAAGTTAAAATGTGATAGAGTATTTGCTTTGCATAAAATCAATTGTTTATTGTTTATTTCTTGCAGATCCATTGAAATCTGAACAATTCCTATGGGCAGGGACAATTTCCACCATCCCAGGTTGATCCAAGCACTGTCCAACCTGACCTTGGACACTTCCAGGGATCCAGGGACAGCCACAGCTTCTCTAGGAAACCTGTGTCAGGGCCTCACCTCCCTCACAAGGAACAATTCCTTCCCAGTATCCCATCCATCCCTGCCCTCTTGTAGTTCAAAACCTTTTCACTGCCATCCCCACATTCATTTTTTGCTCCTAAGGCACATTTTAAACAACGGCGGCAAGAAATGAAACTGCCTGAATGCAAAATACAACTTTCCATTCACAAAATATTTCCCAGGGAGAAAATCAAGATGTTTTCTCAATGTATGCATTATTTTCATTCCTTTAGTCCCGATGCTGGTGAGGAATAAAGCAGGTCAGATAAGGAATGTGGGCTCACTTGTGAATTCTCTGGAAACAATATTTCTCATTAGCAGGGAGGCACATTCCTAATCCCACCTGGCATCCAACATTTACCAACAGCCAGTGAGAAGGGAAAATCAGGGTTATCTGCAAGTGGAGCAGGAGGTGCCACGAGTCAATTGGTGACATTTAGGAAAATTGATTGTCCTGTGCCTCAGGAGAGAGGCTTTGGGAAGGAAATTGTTGGGAAGCTCCAGAGTGGGAGTAACATGACCAAGGTTTCAACCTCGTTAGTTGTAGCTGGTATTCCCAACATGATCTACAGCCACGGGAGAGGAGTGAACAGTCAGAAAAATTACAGAACATCTTGTAAGATCAAATAAACTAACCCTGCCCTCGCCCTGATAGCTGCCTTCATTTACAGAGTGAGTGACATCCATGATGTATGAAGCAGTTATCATTTCAAATGGCCAGGCTTTCAATATATTAAAATTAAAATTAAACTTTCAGAGGTGAGACGGGCTTGAATTAAAGTAATATTTTCAGAGTTCCCAAGTTGTCTCCCAATGTCTTCATACTTTAATTTCTAAGATCTCAGCCAGATAAAATGATTCATTTTCTTGTCATTCATACTTTGGCTCACTATTTTTTCCAGTATTTCCTGCACAGATGCATTAAATAGTAAAAAATAAACCAAAAAAAGCCCAAATTTAAAAGGACCTTAACAAAATACACATTCAACCTTAGGAAGAAAGTAACAACACCTAAATAGCAATGTATAAGTAACAACAACTCTCCCCAAGGAGAAGTAAAGAATGTCCCAGTTTGAGGTTTTTTACTGAACAGTTTTCCATGTGAAAATATTTTAATTCTCACCTACAAATTGGATGGACTAACTCCAGAAAATCAGGAATACTCTGGCCCCATGGATTGAGAAAAAAAAAAATAGGACTATCCCTGTAGCTTGCCAACAGAAAGAATAAATTACTTTTTCAAGCTCATTGTCATTCCAGAGACAAGGGATTGCAGTAAGTAGGATAAAACCTGGTGTTACAGAGCCATGGAGAGATTTCCAATGAGCACTGAACTGACTGTGAGTTCACTGCAGCTTCCCAGGGCTGAAAACAGCACATTCCACCCAAAAACTGTCAATTTATGGAGTTAATCCATTAATAGGTGCAGAAAAGCTGAATTAGAAGGACATGGATCATCAAATCCCAGAATGGTTTGGCTGGAAAGGACTTTAAAGTTCATCCAGTCCCACTCCTGCCATGTGCAGGAACACCTTCCATTATACCAGGCTGCTCCAAGCCCTATCCAAGCTGGCCTGGAACACTGCAGAGATGTCTCTCTATCACCTTATTTAATCTCCTTGATCCTCAGGGTTCCCAAGTAAAGTTAAGGAATAGATTCTTACTTTTATTTCATTGATATTCACACGGTCCAAATTTTCATAAACATAAACTGATGAGCAACAACCTCTCAAAACTTCCAAATGCTGCTCCATCATCAACTGCCAAAACTCTAAATTTTCCAAACTAAGCCTAAGAGATTCCTGTGACACACTTTGCTACCTGCTGAACAGAACCAATAGGATCTGAAAGCAACACAGATCCTGGAGGACTTGACATTCAATTTCAGCTTCAGGCAAAGTCTGTCTCAGAGAGGTGCAGTGTCTGCCCTGTGCTCCTTAGAATCTCTTGATTTTAACAGAAATAATCCTTCACAGATCAAAAATACATGGAAAGATAATCAAAAGTTGCTAAACAGATCCTCAAGATTTCTTAGGCATTGCTCAGTTTTTGCACCTGTCACTGGATAGTTTCTGGTCCCACGACAGCCCCCGGCTAAAGAGTCACTGATTGCAGGTGAAGTTTTGTCCACACATGGATCATCACAGAATCATGGAATTGTTTGGGAAGGAACCTCAAAGACCATCTAACCATCTAAAAAAACTCCGGAGCATCTCTGTGGATTCCTCTGGACTCCCTCCAGTAGCTCCACGTTCTCCTGCTGTTGGATCAGGGCTGGATGCAGCTCTGCAGGTGGGGTCCCATGAGGCCGAATGGAACCATCTCCCACCCTGCTGCCCTCACCGTGAGTCTGTACCACTAAACCACTCAAACAGACAAGTTCTTATCTACAAACTATCCAAGACTTAATTAGTCCAGCTGAAATCATGTTTGATCCTATCCCAGCCATTTATCAGTGTGGACAATCAAGTTCCAACGCCCAGACCTGTACTCAGGCACATTTTAATTTGTTAGGATATGTTTTATTTATCCTCCATGGATTGATGGTATCACCTATCACAGCCATGATAGATAAATTTAACAATGAAATATGTTCAAATGGGAAAGTTCTACAAAAAAAATTTCCTTTCAAACTAGCCTGACTTAGGTTCCAAACAGATTTACAAGCCCAGGGAAAATTAAGCAACTCGTGGTTACGATACTCCCAGTCATTTAAAGAACATCACTTCTCTTTTTGTGGACCCAAATAAAGATGCTTTAAAAAGGTTTGGCTTTCAGAGAATGCTGATCCAGCAGTGAATGAAAATCAGGAATTTTCTGGTCTCAAAATATTCAATCTCTAGCAATCACAGCAAAGATTTGAGAACATTTAAATTCTATTAACAAGAGATTCATATGTTCTTCATATTTGTCTTTTGATTTTTTTTAAGCCATTAGGGAATATTCAGATTACATATCCAAACTTGTTTCATCAGAGCAGCCAGAAAGTTATTATTTTTAAATGAAAACTGAGATTCTAGCATAATCAAATTAATCCAGGAGTAGGGGTCATATTTATACGCAAGGACTGTTAATTTTCCATGGTAAGTACAGCCAGGAATTGAATTGAAAATAGCTGATTAACCAATTACCAGGAGCCTCCTCCATCTCCTAAAGCACAGTCACGATGGGAACGGGGGAGAGGAGGAGGAAAAGGGAAAAGCAGGGATGGGAACATCCCAAAGCAAATCAGCTGCTACTTGAAGGACTCCTTTCCCCTTTCTTTTTTGTCTTTTCTTACATTTTTCCTACATTTCCCATCACACCACCATGGTGGAGGATTTGGGCTACTGAGGGGTTGGGAATCTGGGAGAAAAAATAGATCAGGGAGCATAAGAATTTATTTTAAGCAGTCATAAAAGGATTTCACAGGTTATTATCTCCAGAAGTGGAATATAAGGCATAATATAACTTAATTATATTTCATTCACTTGCTATAGAAAACAGCGATCTGACCTTGGTTTGTGCTTGTGCCTGAGTAAATGAATTGATTCTAGGAACTTCTGGGCTCCAGAATTTCTGTTCACTTTTCACTTGTGAAAGCCACAACTAGCCAGTACTTCTATAAAATAGGTCATTCATTTATAGGCCTAAGTACCTTCAAGCCTGATTTTTTAAACCTTAGGATGTTTTTTTATTTTTTCACTGTTTCCTAACCCAAGAGATATTTCCCTAAAGGAAGGCTTTAGTTCTCTAAAAAGGTACCTGATGTGTGTGACAAGAGAAGTCACACACGTCTCATGTACCAAATTATGCCAAAAACGAGGATTTGGTGAATTGTGCAAAGATGGGATTGTTCCAAATCCTCACTAATTCAAACAGAGAGTGAAATCATTCACTTTATTTATATCCATCCCCTCTCCCAAGTTCTCCTGGACACCAGAAAATGCTTCTGGGGCGGTTTCACAATGTACAATGGTCTGCAAGTACAGAGGGAAAGTTTGGCTGTTAAAGAGAAAGATTGCAGGAAGTGCTTCTGAAGGAATAGAAATTACCTGCTAAATGCTCCCTTTTCCAACCTAAACTAAGATGCCCCTCCATTTTTCCTTGTTCCTGAAGGTGGCATTCAGATTTAAAATTCTAGGATTTCAAAAACTACAAAAAATCGGGGGGAAAGCAGGAAATCAGAAATTCACTGGGGCTCTTGAAGCACTAAAGAGAGGCACACAAAGGAGAGAGCTGCTCTCCTTGAGTGGGATGAGATTTTTAATTTATGGCAGAACTTCATCCATAAATCCCTCCTAGCTGGTGATGAAACAGAAGCTCTTCTTTCTTTTCAGGTCTAGTTCAACGAGCAGAACTGTCAGTTCTAAAAGCTCCTGTGCAATAAGAAAACCTCCTGTCATCTCAGATGAACTCTCAAGTGTTACAGTTCAAAGTCCTTTGTCTCCCAAAGGATATTTTCAGCACAGAGACATCGATCCCCAATCCTGGTCATTTATGTCTCCACCTCTGATGAGTCTTTTGGATCCTCAGCATTGGCAAAGAGATGGTGAACAGGATCTGCTGGGTTTCTTTCACCTCTCACTTCTCCAGTTCCATCCTCCATCAGGAGCCATCAGCTGTCAGCTCATGACGAATTAAAAGGAGAGGTGGCTATGTCACAGCAATTCAACAATTTGAATTTTGAATTATTTGAATTATTGGACCCCCAAGAGAGATCCCAGCTATTATTAAAAAACCCTGATGTCACTCAATGGAATG